TGGCAAAGCACTTGCTGTGTGCCTGGAGCATTGTTTAGGCATTCTTGCCCAGATGGCAGATGTAATAAATTTTTTCCCTGTTTTTACCAATGAGAAAACTAGTGGTGGGTGTTTGCTTAAGGCAACATTAGGATACAAATAGCAAAGCTACACAGGATCTGGGTCTGTCTCTAAAGCCAAAAGGCTCTTCTACTTCCTGTCCCAGCAAGGTGAAGCCTCACTCATCCCACCCATCAAAAGCCCTTTGGTGAGAAACTCACTGGAGCATTCTTGGAAGCCTCCCAGATGCCTTTGCTTCTAGGTCCTAATGTAAATCCTCTTTATAACTTTAGAATTGATCTTTTAAATCCTCATTATTCAGAACAGGAGACAGAGTTGGTCCCAAAATATCTACAGCAGGTATCAGAAATCCTGTCCCCCCCAACCCAGGTCTCTCTCTATGTGCCTATTGCTAATTTTTCTTTCACATTTGAAAGTGTGTGCTCAGGAAGATGTGTCCTGTAGTACCCCAGTGCTTGCCCTGGCAAAGAACAGGCACTAAATATTGGATGTACTGATGAACTGATGGATTAGCTGGTCCACCTCATCAGAGCCATACAAACACCTCCACCCTGCTTCCCACAAATACTGGGCTGAGAGTCCCTTCTGTGGACCACATAGGATCTCTGTGCTGATGCACTGGTGGTTATCGTCCATCTGCGTGCCACTCCCTCCTAGGAGCCACTAAGTCCTGTGTGGTCTTCATGTTTGATTCCTTGGAGCCTTAAGGCTCTGCACACAGAAGATGGTCCATCATTGTAGACTGAACCATGCAAAGAAGGCTTTCTGGGGCCATGGACATGGCTCACTGTGCAAAGCACTTGCTGCACAAGCAAGAGCTCCAGCATTTAGATCTTCAGTGCTCTAGTAAATGAGTGGCCCTGGTACCCTGCCTGTATCCCAGGACTCATAAATGAGAAGTCATGGTACCCCTTTCTGCATCCCAGGACTTGTAAACAAGTGGCCATGGTACCCCTGCCTGCATCCCAGGATGCAGCGGGGCTGGAGGAGGATCCCAGCTAGCCAGCTGGACTAGCAGAATCCTCAAGTAAGAGAACCCTCCTAGCCTCGCTGACTTCACAGGCTGATGGATCTGTCAGAGAGTCCTGCTCTGATACAGGTAGATCCCATTTGTGCTCATTCCCTGACAACAGCAGGGAAAGAATTCAGTGCCCACTCCTCATAAATCTCTCTCACACACCGCCATATCCTGGGGCCCCAAGCTAGGGATTTCTCACCCCAGGCAGCCCTAGTTTATAATATTCTCCTTCCTGGTGCCTTTAATGTGGCAGTGAAATATGAGGCCACCCACAGACACAGAAACCTCCTGGAATCCAGAGTTCCCACTCCCTTCGTCGCAGGGCAGACCACGAATTTGGTTAATTGGCTGAGTTATTCAAGGAGCTCTGAGAATGGATCTATTAGGGCACTGGGATGAGGCCGCTGGTGGGAGACAAAGCCAGTGGGCACCGTGGACCCATCTGTTTCTGCCTGAGGTCAAAGAGCCAGTCAACAGCAGAGACAGTGGGCTCCACCTCCAAGGCATCTAGAATTCTAGGCCATCCCTCCCCTTTCCCCTGCCAGACAGGGCTGTTCTGAGGCAACACCAGTATGAATGGGCCCACCCCACCCCCATCCCCCAAGCAAGGAGGCAGCAGTCTGTGTGGCCCATCAAGAGACAGACTTCTGACTCCCAGCCAGGCAGGGGGGGGGACAGACTGCCTGAACTCACCTCAGCCTCAGATTGCCTGCCAGCCCCAGCAGTAAACATTCCAAGTACTCCTGGGAAGGTGAGACCTCTTCGAGGCCAGAGCTGATTGGGTGGTATGTAATTGCAGTGTTCTGTGTTCAAGGCTGGAATCAAGTCCGAGGCAGTCAGTCCTGTGGGTTGGGTATCCACACAATGACCCCTATCATGTAGATTTGTGGATTCCAATGATTTGTCAGTAGGTGGCAACAAAGCATCACAAGGAAGGGTTGCAGAGATAAGGGAAATCTGCACTTACCTGGCTAACAAACTTGTGGGAAGCTCAGTCCTGTGCATCGTCACACTTGCACTGTCACGTGCAGTGAACACTGACACAGAACTGGTTTCTAAGAGCTCACAGACTGGATGCTTGCAGGCAGGGAACAGATCACAATGTAGAATTACAATGCAGAATGGTACCATAAAGGTTGAAAGTTTGATTTGCTCAGGGGCTGAGGAGGGGTGCTTCTAGAGAAAACCAAAGAGCTGATATCACCCATGAGGACTCTGGAAGGTGAGAAAGAAATGGCCTGGCCAAACAGAGATGTGAGCCTGTGCAAAAGACCCAGAGCATTCAAGTAGAGGACATATTGAAGCATCACAGGAGATATGCGTGTCCATGGAAGCAGCAGCAAGACAATGCATGGATAAAGTGGTCCGCCTGGTGCCAGGCTCCCCATTAGGAAGGAATTTGGTATTCTGGGCTGAGTCCGGAAAATATGAAACTATGGGAAAACTGGAAAAGTTATGAGACTTTGAAAGGTGACTTCTCTGTGTGAGGGATACAGGGAGTGACCCTGTCCCTCTTGGGGTTGATTGGAAGGTCAAGTACTAAGGGAGAACAGCAGAATCTGAAGGGTTATAGGGTAGAGTGGAGAGTAACTCGGAAACTAGGGAAGACTGTGAGTTATGACTGAGAACCAAGAGCTGGCCATTGCGATGCTGCCACAGTCTGGGTGAGCTGTAGTCATCAAGGAGGGAATGCAGGCATTTTATTTAGGTGTTTGCTAACTTACTCATTGTGACAGTTAGTTTTAAGTGCCATCCTTTCACAATGTAGAATTGCCTGAGAGCGTTAGTGCAGGAATTGACTAGATAAGGTTGTTCTCTGGACAGGTCTGTAAATGATTGCCCTAATTGTTAATTGAGAAAATCCAGCCAATTGTGAGAAGCACCATTCCCTGCAAAAGGGAGCTAGATGAGGGCAAGCAGGCAAGGATGAATATATCTTCTCTTTAGTCTTGACTGGATGTGCTATGACTGCTTGAGTTCATGTCCTGACTTCCCCCAAATAATGATGGCCTGTAATCTGGAACTGTAAGGAAAAAAAAAACAGCAAAAAACAACAACAAAAAAATCATCTCATCTCTAAGTTGCTTTTGGCAGATTTTGTACCCCAGCAACAGAACTTGAATTAGAATATTCATCAACTTTAAATATTAGTCATGCATCTCATAGGCCATTCTGGAGGTGGGATGGAATGTGCTGACTCTTTTGTTGAGAATTTGTAATGAAATTCTGCATTGTGTGAGGCTAGATAAACACACATTTTATTGAAGAGTATCGATGGGAAAGAAAGAAAAAAAAAAACAGACAGACAGACCAGCATCACTTTCAGGGCATATCAAGCATTCCTGTTGCACAAAAGTCCAACCTCAGTGACATCTTAGTCTGTCAATACTGTAACAAAAAGTGACACTAGTATCAAAGTTGTCAAACAAGGATGCTGTAGTATTTAGGAAGCCCTGCCATTGGCTGAGAATCAATGGGGCCTATGAAACCAGACAGAGTGGAATAGTCTAAGAGTTTGTAGAAAGGATTTTTCACAAAGATTAAGAAAGTAGTTGGCAGCATCCCTGCTCCAGGGAAAAAATAGAATGAAGAAACTTAAGAAAAGGATCTTAAATGTGATGCTTGCAAATTATTGATTAGAATGGGGCCCTGTGGCCACACATCACTTAGGGGCGAGTTAGAACCACATTAAATAAATGCTCATCTAATCCATAGACATTTCTGCTGTGGGAAAAGGAGAGAATGAGCTAGGAGGAAGAAAAGTGCTGCCTCCAACCCTAAGAAGGTTTGAGGAAATGCTTAATGTAGTGTCCAGTTCAAGCATTTGTTTCATTGCTGCAGCAGTGGGAAAAGGGAAATGCAAACTGGGTCATTCACATTACATATGGAAAGACAACTCCCTTAGCACCCTTCTGTCCTGACTTTCAGAGCTGAGTGGCAGAACAGACATGGAGAAGAAAGCCTGGGAGCAGATCCCCCTTAGGATATACAGGTGTTTAGTCTCTGGGTTTTGAGTTTCCTCCTGGACAAGATAGAAATAAAAGTGCCTACTTCATGATGACAGTTATCCACATTAAATGAAAAAGACCACCGATTAAACCCTACAACACATTAATATTTTCATTCATGTATTTACTAATTCAAGAGATAATCAATGCATTCCTTGGTGTGCTGCACACTCTGGTGATATTGAGGACAAAATGATGGGTCACAGACTTGAAGAATTCCTATTGTCATTCAGTGGGATACAGGCATTAAGCACCCTTACTGATTTTAATTATACTTGTGATCCACAGTAGGAAAGACAGTCCATGTCAGAAGAGAGGATAACTATGGAGGAGAGTGGGTAAGTGAGCAAGTGGGAGGACTTGAGAGTAAGGTCGGAGAGTCATCAGGGAAAGGGAGAGTAAGGTCTTAAGAATGCTATCTACTCTTTTGCCTTGATCTATGTCATGGTGATAATTAGCTTTGTGGAATAGAGTCCTGAAAGGGTGAGTGGGTGGATGAAAGGATTGATGAGTGATTGACACTTAGACACATAATGCAGAGATGAGGAAACAGACAGATCACCGAGTCCTTGATGTAGTACATACATGCAATTTACTAAAACACCACCAAATCATTACTGTACTGTTTATGTTTTCCTTGTCTGATTGAGTCTGTCAAATCACCTGTAGAAGTAGGGAGCATGGCTTCCTTTTAGAGGCTGCGATTGAGGCACAGGAAGTCGTGTCTCCTCTATTCCTATCCACTTCCTCCTCTCCTCCACCATTCTATATCTAAATACCAAGGCACACGGTGGTTAGGGAAGGACAGGGGCAGGTTGCCACTATCATGGTTTACACCTTTAGGGGTCAGGCCTTTGGAAAGGGAAGAAAGGACAATGGATTCTTACTGAGCAGGTCTCTTGATCTCTTTGCAGGTCAAAGTATTTCCATGGGAAGAAAGTGAATGGCGACATTGAGATCCGAGTGGAGCAGGTAGGTGGTGGCCCCTTGCCTAGCTCTTCTCACACCTGCCTTTTTGTGAACAGGTGCTATTTCCAAGAGTATCCTTGCTTCTTACTTGTGTGGTCATAATGAATTAAGATTGCCAGAAAAATCTTGAATTTTACTTGGGAGTCTCATTAAGTTCCAGAATTTTCTGGTCCATTCATTTTTCAAACTTTTGGTTTTAGGTCGATTATTAGTCAGAGTTCTTTGTAGGAACAGAACAGCAGAATTGTGTGTGTGTGTGTATGTGTGTGTGTGTGTGTGTGTGTATAAGTGGGGATTTATTTATTAAAATGGCTTACAGGCTGTTGTCTAGGTAGTCCAACAATGGCTGTCTACCAATGGAAGGTCTAAGACTCCATCAGTTGTTCCATCTACTAGCCTGAATGTCTCAACTTGTTTTCAGTATATGCCAGAATTGCAAAAAGTAGGCACCAATGCCAGTAAAGGAATAAATTTGCCAGTGATTGAGAACAACTAGGCGAAGAGCAAGCATCCATGTCCTGCATATAGGCTGCCAACAGAAGGTGTGGCCCAGATTAAAGGTGGATCTCCTCACCTCAATAGATCTAGATAACAGGTGTGTATTCCCACTTCAAATGATCTAATTAAAAAAATAAATCCTTTACAGGTATGCCCAGCATCTTGGGTTTTAGTTAATTACAGATGTAGTCAAGGTGACAACCAAGAATAGCCATCACAGATAGAGAATTGTTCTTCAAAGGAAATATCAAAAGGAGTTCGTGCTACAAAACTCAGACAAGTGGAGCTCTTCAGATGAGAAGCCATGTGTCCCATCTGTGACCTGTGGCTCCAAGGCATCTTCTTTGACTATGAAGTATAGTGGATGGATGTATTAGTTACTTTTGCATTACTGTGACAGAACACCATGACCAGGACAGCTTATAATAGAAAGCATTTAATTGGTCTTACAATATCTGTGTTGAGAGTCCATGATGGTACAGCAAAGACATGGTGGCAGGATCCTCTGAGAGCTCATATCTTGATCTTCAGGTAGGAGGCAGAGAGAGACATACTGGGAATGGAAAGAGTCTTTTAAAAACTCAAAGTCCCTCCTCTAACAAGGCCATACCTCCTTATCCTTTTCAAACAGTTCCACCAACCAGAGACCAAGTATCCAAATATAGGAGCCTATGGGGGCATTCTCATTCAGACCACCACAGTGGAAGAGTTTATGTTTAAATCCTGACTCTCTTGTTTCTAGGTGTTGAGCAGGTGACTTACTCTTGATGTGCTCTCATTTTCTTGTATCGTTGTTGCTGAGATGAAATTTTTTGAAACTTCAAAAGAGACCAGAATTAAGAATACTATCCCTCATTATTACTTCTGTTATCAGCATCCAGGTCCCTTGTTTTATATAGAAAAAAAGCATGGGCTTGGTCAGACTGAATAGGAAATCAAAACTGAACTCCAGACCTCCTGGTTCCTGACTGGAAACTCCTCAGTCAATAAACTGAGACCCTCCTTTATAGGGGCATCATACTCAACCTTAGGAGAGCACATCAGAGCAAGGACTCTGGAGTCAGATTCCAGGTTCAAATTCCAACTCCACCTCTTAATTAGTTGTCCTGGCTGAACAAGACTTGAGCCTTTTCTTACTGTTCATCTGTGCTCTTTCGATATTCAGTTTGTGATGGTGGGGTGGGTGGTTGGGAGGATTGCATGAGTTACCACAAGTATTTCTCTTCTTCTCTCCATCTTTATCTTCTCTTCTGATGGAGATGTCCTTCTGTATATATATTTCTCTTATTGGTCAATGAACAAAACACTAGCTAGTGGCCAGGCAGGAAGGATAGGTGGAGTTACCAGATGAGAAGAATTTTAGAAGTGTAGGCAGACAGGAGTCGCCATGTGAGCCCAGAAAGAGAGGACATGCCAGGTGTTCTCCAGTAAACCAAGACCACATGGAAATAAATAGATTAATAGAAATGGGTTAATAATTAAGACAGAGCTAGCCAATAAGAAGCCCAAGCCACCTGCCAACAGTTTTATAACTAATATAGCATCTGTGTGTTCATCTGGGGCTGATGGACAGCGGGACCAGCTGGGACAAAAGAACCTTGTTATACTCTTCCTCTCTCCTTTCTTTCCCTTTCTCTTCCTGCCTCTCTGTCCGCCTCTATCTTCTCTTCCTCTCTCTTTTCTTTTCCTTTCTCATCTCTCCACTCTGTTCTCCTTCTCTATCTTCTCTTCCTCTCTCCTTTCTTTCCCTTTCTCTTTTTTCCCCTCTCTGTCCTCTTACTTTTCCTGCTTTCCCTCATCCCATCCATCCTCCTGGTGTTTCTTTTGCTATCAGTAGTTGTAGTTGTTAGTAAGTCTCCTTTCCCTCTCCCTCTCCTACACCCCTCCTACTCCATTTTACCATCACCCTTCCTTCCCTTTCTCCCCCCCCCCACTTCTTAGCATTCTTCAATGAATAAAAATAAAATTATTGGAAGAAATACCATTTGGAACTCAGGAACATAAATGGCCTATCTCCCCAGCCTCATTCCCTGCACTTTTTTTTCCCCTGTGAGTCAGAGGAAGGGAGCAAACTTCTTGGCATCAAATTGATGGAATTGGCTTCATACTAAAACACCTACAGTTTGAACTTCAGTATGATCCTGTGGCTTTTGAGTCAATCCAATACTAATTTTCCTTTCATAGCAAAAGCAGGCTATTTTTGTTCATTTTACAAATATTTGCCAGTGTCTACTATGCTAGCTCACTCATGTGAGAAAGGATAAAAAGCAGTGATCCCATTCTTAAACAGAAATGGCTTTGAGGATGGAATGCTGTTTGAGTTGTATTAAAGAATGGAAGGTCTCTTAACATGTGGAGCTGGTGGCATGGAGAGCATGTGCGATTGAGGGCCCAAGGGTAGAATAAGTTGGCCAGTACAGGGTGAGACACTAGTCCCATTGTTTGACTCCAATATATAACTTCCTATCTCCTACTGCCCCTCTCGCAGTGGAGAGTGCCACCTGGTCCTTCCTTCCATCTTAGCTGCAAACCTGTGCAGCCTCTCTCTGCCACCACGCCTATCCTCCATGTCTTTTTGGCTCTGTATCTTATGATTCCCTAGTCCAACTATTGCTATCCCCAAATTGTCAAGACTCTAACTTCTCTGGAGGACCACCAGCTCTCAGCCAGACTTTGAACAAACAGTTTTATAGCTCTATTTGTTTACCAATCTCCAACTTACTGTTCATGCCAAAACCAAAGTGATCTGTCTCATGGGAGGGGAGGGGGGAGGGGGAATGCAGGAACATGTGGTTCGTGGGGGTGTGTGGTGTTTGGAGGACCAGTTCAGGAGTTGGACCTCACCTTCCCCATTTAGGAGAAAGGGGCTCTTGTTTTGCTATTGTGTGTGCTAGGCTAGCTGTCTTGGAAGTCCCCCCCCACCACCGAGCTCCTCGAATCTCTCTCCTCCTTCTTAACAGCACTGGGAACACAGATGCTTGCAACTGCACCCAGCTTAGTGTGGGCTCTAAGAATCCAAACTTGGGGTCCTACACTTGCACAGGAAGCACTTTTGCCCACTGAACCATCTCAGTAGCCCTAGCGTAATCTTTCAAAAGAGTGAATTGGGCCCTTTAAAGACTTTGCTTAGCAGTGGCTTCCCCGAGCCCTGTCTGAATCAGGAAGTCAGTGGTCCTTTCATAGCACCTCCTTCCTTCCTTCCTCATCCTCATCCGGGTATTTTAGTGATATATTTAGAGTGGCATTATTTGACTGTGAGGATGTGACATGAACAGATCTCACTCTGTTAAGGAGCACAGGTCCCATCATAAATTAGAACTGAAGGAAATGTTTTCAGAATGAATAACTGACAGATTCCACAGATTCTGGCTGCATGTTAGTTTCTATAGATAATAAATCACTGCTTTTTAATCTTTCCCCCTAAATCTGGGTTTTCTGTAAACCATGTGCCAAATGTTCAGTTGCCAACCAAGCTGGACCTACTTCATCTCCTTTGTGGTAACTATGAGACATGTTGGCATTCCCCCTTGTATCTCAGCACTGCCTTCAGCCCAAGTGGCAGGGACCAAATCTGTATGCAGGGAGCTACTACAACCACACAGGGATGGATGCTAGGGATACTTCAGGAGTCTGTGGGAGCTACACTTATGCCGGAAAATGTTGGCTGATTTCATCATTCTCATTTCCAGCCATGGAAAACCAGAAAGTAAATTAGTCAGGAAACCAATTAGCATGTCATTTGGGCATTTGTCCCTGAAAGACATTCCTTCTCAAACTTTTCTTGAAGTCTGAATGGCTTGTCTTTGGCCCATCTGGATCAATGGGTGGGTCACATAAGCTACCCCAATCCCCTGGAATTTCACACTCATCCTCCAGCACTCAAAAGAAGCTTTAGAACGGAAGCCACTGTTTAGTCTAAGATGGCCTCTCAATGAAGGGCCAGATTAGCCAGATAATTGTATTGTCTGGACTCTGTTGGACAGAGTCAAGGAGTTAGTTGTGGTTGGCCTAGAGGAAGCCTCCACCCCATCTCTCCACCCTCTTCCCAACAATTCCAAAACCACTTGCCTGGCTGTAGCAGAGCCAGGAATCCAGAGGCCCAGGGAAGCAAGTGGAAAGCTGCATCCTTTTGCATCCCATTACCCAGAGTACCCTGCTACATCCTCACCTATTGGCTAAACTGGCTAGTCAAGAGCGTGCATCTTTCTCAGCTTCCCACCCTATCCACTTGTCTCCCCCTGCAAAGTTTTGGGGTTACAGATGTATACTGCCACACCCAAATTTTTTTGGGGTGCTGAGGATCTGAACTCAGGTCCTTGTGATTGCCCTACAAGCACTTTAGCCTAGTAGCAATCTCCCCAGCCCCCAACCAATTTATGCTTATTTTAGTCTTCAATTCATACTTGTCTATGATTTAACATTTCTTACACTAAACTGTTTGGTGGGTGATATAAGTCCTCACCCTCATTGAGGAGCTATTGACAGCTGGTAGCTACTGAGGGTAG